TCCGCCCACCCCTGTAACCTGTCTAGGTCCGATTGCAGCCTATTCCTCCCTTCTAGCATGCCCACGTCCCCCCACATCTTAGTGTCATCAGCAAATTTGAACAGAGTGCTTTTTACCCCCTCGTCCAAATCACTGATGAAGATGTTGAACAGTGCGGGCCCGAGGACCGAGCCCTGGGGGACCCCACTGCTCACATCCCTCCAGGTTGAAAATGACCCATCCACCACCACTCTCTAGGTGTGGCCCTTCAGCCAGTTGGTGACCCATTTGACTGTGTAGGTGTCGACACCACAGTCTCCCAGTTTTTTAATGAGAACGGGGTGAGAGACAGTGTCGAAGGCCTTCTGAAAGTCCAGAAAGACTGTGTCCACTGCTACCCCTGCATCTAAGGTTTTTGTGACCTGGTCGTAGAAAGCCACCAGGCTGGTCTGACAGGACCTACCTCTAATGTGTTGCTTGTCCCTAAGCATAATCTCCCCTGCTGGCCCCTCGTGGACATGTGCCAGGTTAATTTTCTCAAAAAGCTTACTCAGGATCGAGGTAAGACTAACTGGCCTATAGTTTCCCGGGTCCTCCTTCTTCCCCTTTTTTGAAGGTGGGAACCAGCTGGCCCTCTTCCAGTCCTCTGGCGCCACACCAGAGCCCCATGAGTGCTCGTAAAGCCGTGCTAGGGGTCCTGCAATGACTTCAGCTAATTCCCTCAGCACTCTGGGGTGGAGATCGTCGAGACCAGCTGATTTAAATACATCCGGTCCCTCCAGAAGTTTCCTGACTAGATCCTCATTGACCCTTGGCTTAGGTGTGCCTCCCCTGGGGCCTGAGGGGGACCCAGTGTGGGGGCTGATCTGGTCCCTGCCCAGGAAAATGGAGGCAAAGAAATTGTTAAATAGGTTAGCTTTGTCGTCTGGTGTGATGACCAGATTTTCTAGCGTGTCTTGCAGGGGCCCCATGTTACCTGGTACCTTCTTTTTGCCCCCTATGTATTTAAAAAAGGACTCCAGATTATGGAGTAGAGGTATATAGACACCCTTGCTGATGAAACTGGGGCACTGGGCCATCAAGAGTGCAAGATTCTTGGGATGAGAGGGGAAAGAAAGCAAAGGGGAGTGTGACTCTGTGGCCCAGTGGTTAAGGAATCCAGCTTGGGAAATTTTGGGTTCAGATGCCTGCTGCTAGGTTTAAAATATTTATACATTTTTTCATTAGAAAGTTATTGGCTGAAAAACACAAGTAACCTGTTAGAAATCAAGAACTCCCCACTCCCATGGGAGCATCTTCTTCACTGGGCCATAGACTCACATTCTCTCTGACTTGCTGTCCTTCTGGCCCCATGAATGCTGCACCCTTGGCTCTTGACAGCCCGGCTTCAAGTAGGAGGTGGGGGGGAATGCACCTCCTCAGAATAACATGTGGCGTGGTGCTAGGGGTACTTCCCTATAAATTTGGCAGTGGTGTCTTGATTAGGAAATAACTATTTGGCTATTGGGCAGAAAATGGGCAGCACCACCTGGTGTGGTCAGAACTGAGGAAGAATTTCTGTACTACTGAATTTGCTTCTGCTGTCAGGCGGACACCCTGCTTTGGCTGCTATGGATTTGTACAGACAGCATTGAGAGCTCTGAGGGGGAGTGGAAGTTCAGACATGCTCTCCTGCCTGGCAAGTCCTATTTATTCACCTCCTTACACAGCACCTGATACTCTGGATTGCCATTGGATAGTATGTAGGCCTCCTTACTCACTGTCCAGGAAGCCTAGGCAGGCACCTAACCCCATTGATTTGGATCAGTCTTCTAGGCCAACACAACTACATTTGTAATGTCCTATGGGGAGGCTCTACAAAGTCAATTTGGATCTAGCCCCTGGGGACTTGGTCCAAAATTTAAACTTTAGTCAAGTGCCTTTCTGACCTACAGATACTTTATTTATTACTGGGAGGATCCTTGAAAGTAGAGTGAAGAGCATCTGTACAGGTCCTAGATTTTTAGCTTTAAATTATACTTTTCCACGTGTGCAAGAAATGCCTTCTTCCAGGTAAAACACTTCTGCAGATATTTAGGAGTACAAGAGAGAGTGGGTCTATTATTGCTGGAAGTTCTGGTGGATTACGTCTGGACGTGAACATGTTCATGCCCCTGGGAGTCATCACAGCTATGCTGAGGCCTGTACTGGTTATGCCCCTAAGCATAATCTCCCGTGCTGGCCCCTCATGGATATGCGCCAGAATAATTCTCTCAAAGAGAGACATGAATGACATTTCCTGGGTGATCAGAGAGTCATAGGAAAGCAGGGCTGAAAGTTGATGTTTCTCTATTGTTCTTGGCAGTCCCTTGATATGAGGGTGAGAGACTTCCAATACCTGTTTCTCAACACCTTATAGGATACTTTGTTGTGGGAAATTTTTACACTTTTGTATTCAGATAATAGGGCCCACAAAATGGTTTACAGACATATTTGTGCAAATGGTCTGTGCAACGATAACTGTAATGTGGAAGACAAGTTAGATCCGCAATTTTTAGATTAACCAAAGTAGACTAACCAAAGTAGATGGTTGTATGTAGCACAAGCTTTTGTGATGTGAAGCTAGGAAAGGAGGTAAGAATTCCTCGTCAAATGTAGACATGCCTTTTTACTTACTACATGGGTTTTTGAAGGTCAGAGGATACAGGGGTTGGGGATGAGTTTGTTCTGTGATAGGAGAAATATTACTCTCCAAACTAGGAACAGGGTAGAAGAAAGCAGTTTTATATGGGGGTGACCTAAAATCAGAACTGGCTCAGACAGACAGCAAAACTCTGCATAGGAAGAAAACAAGAAGCTTGGAAGCAGGGAGATAACCCCTTGCCTGCACACAAGCACAGGGTCCAGGTGAGATCCTGGCACACAAGCAAGCAGCATCAACAGGTAAGATCTGGTGCCATGAGGAAAGGACCTACCAAGCAGTCATGTTCAGCATGCAGAGGAAGCTGGCAAAGAGAAAGAAAAACCCAGAGATAGCAGAGAGCAATGGAAACCAGAGAGGGGTAGCTAATACACAGCCTAGGAGCTGTTTAGGAATCACAGGACATGTCTACATGTCGCCCTATGGCAACATGGCAGTACACTATGCCATACAGTGCACTATGGTGACATAGCAATCACGCCAAAAGGAAGTACGAAAGCACAGCAATGTGTAGATGTGTCCACGCAGAAGTAAAGAACCTGGAGGATGCTATCTAAAACATCTATGATGCATTAGGAAGAATGCTTGGAACTTAATTATAGGAATAACTAGGGCATAAATGTTCAAGCTTAGATGCATACAACAGACCTGCAGCTTGGTCTCTGTGGGATTGGAAAAAGAAGTTACATTCAGAGGAAGGTGAGGTTGATGAAAACGGTCCAAGGTAACAGTGTCCTTCTAAGTGTATACACAACACTCCAAAATATCATTTTAGAATATGATTAACATTCAAAGGAGGGCCATACACATGATTAGAGGTCTGGAGACCAAGACATATGAGGAGAGGCTGAGGGACTTGGGATTGTTCAGCCTGGAGAAGAGAAGACTCAGGGGGACTTGGTGGCTGCCTATAAATATATTAGGGGCATACATCAGGGTTTGGGGTATGATCTATTTATTCACCAAACTCCCCAGGGAAGGACAAGAAATAATGGGCACAAACTGATTGAAGATTGCTTCAGGCTAGACATAAGAAAAATTTACAAGCCTGCACCAAGGGTTTGGAACAGGCAGAGGTGGCACAGTCATCAACCCTGACAATCTTCAAAAAATGTCTTGCAGCCCATCTTGCTGGGGTTATCTGACCCCAGCAGTCTTTCCTACCCAAGTGCAGGGGGGATGGACCCAGTGATCTGGAAGGTCCCTTCCAGCCCCTAACAACCATGAAACTATGAAAATGGTGACCAACCAGTTTACCTTTGCTGAGAAGTTTGTGAAATATTGTCATTCTTACATAGAAAAATGTGGGTGTTTTTCCAGTGCATTAGAAATATTTGCAATAATTAAAAGAAAATCTGATAAACCAGATTGTCATAAACATGGTTACTCTTCCATATATAGTTTATGTGTAGCATTGTGTCTCAAAAGAAATATTTAAACTACATGAAAACTTACCTCCCTATAGCATAGGAAAAAAAAGGTGGAATGAATTTACTAGGGTGTACAAATGAATTAGGTGCTAACTTCCATGGGTTTCTAGTGTAAGTTAGGAACCCAACTTTTTTTAAGTACTCCTGAAAGATCTCAGCCAACGTTATTTAAACAGAATTTATAAAGTGCATCCGGCAAATGCTAATTCCCTCTTGCCTCATCTGTATGTTGCAGCACTGCTCAAGCCACATGCCTTGCTGATCAGCCTACATCAGTGAATGAATACAAATATCCTGAAAAGCTGCCAGGAGAGTTGTATGATGCCAACACACAGTGCAAATGGCAGTTTGGGGAGAAGGCCAAGCTGTGTATGCTGGATTTCAAAAAGGCAAGTGATTGTTATGAAATGTTTTGTACTACATTCATCCAGAGTTTTACCTCCTCTGCAAATATTTTTTCACTGCGTGATTCTGTCTTAAAGTTTGCTTTTTAAACTATTTGCTGCAAAAGAAAGTACAGGGAAGAGAAGGATGAACTCACCATGTGTCAAGAACTTGTTAAAATGAAAAACAGCAACAAAGCAAAATTGTTCCCTTGTTTAAGGAATCAGTAGACAAGGTTAAGGCAAGAGACTGATTTGTTAAATAAGGAATGTCTATTGGCAGTACATGAAGGCAAAATGCATTAGAGAGGGTATTATAGAAGGCTTCCATACAGCTCAAGCAATGGATGCAGAAAAAGTACAGTCTAGTAAGGTACATGATATAGTCATTGAAAAAGAGTAGCACAAATGTGTTTATAATTAGTCCAGCTGTTTTCCCTAAGCCACCATAAGTCTTGTAACAATGGGAGGCTATGTTTCAAATTTGTTCTCATTCTTTTGAGACTCATCTATATATCAACATACTGTAGATAAATTAAACAGAGAGTTCCCAACTGTTGACAGCTCACAATCTAATTAAGACAAAACATAGCAAGGGCTAACAACAAGCAAAGGGAAAAGTGTGGAGGGAAGATATGGGAAAGAGGAAATTGAAAAAGATGCTTAGCAGTTTAGATTTCATCATTTCAGGGAAAGAGCCAAATGAAAATGAGAACCTCTGGAAAGCGGGGTTCCTCCTCCAGCATAAACAAGGTATGATTTGTAGAACTAGATGAAGTTGATTGGCTTCTAGCTATACAGCAGCATATAACAATAGTACTGTGGAGCTAGAAAAAAATCAAAATAGAGATGAAGTGAACAAAAAGTTAATACAAATGATAGCTGGGTCATCCTTCTCCTTGCTGCTGTTTTGACTCACACTCTTATCCCGCCCTTAAGACTATCATAAAACTAGATACATCAATGGATTTTCAGGAACTTGAACTTAATGGAATAGAATCACTCTTAGGTGCCGATGGTGCCTGTAGAAGTGTGGGGAGGCTTCTCTGACATGCTGTAATTACTGGCTTGTGAATAATGTACATTAGAGCAAAGTTGATGAATCAAGTCTGCTGGGGCATGCTAATTAGCACACTTCTAGCAGCCTCCACATTTTGTGTATCAGTATCCCCATGCTTCAAAATGGTGACGGGGTGCTTTAGTTAAAGCTGTCTTGTAACCATTCTAATTAAAGAGCCTCTCCCACCACCACCACCCTCAGAGCACATGTTAAAATACCCTTAATTTCCACTTAGACACCCAGCAGGTAGAATTCTAATCCAAAAAGTTTTACTGAAATCCTTTACTTTCATAGCAATTATTGTTGTATAATGTACCATGGAAATATCCTCAAGTATGCAAGAATGAATATATTCCACAAACAAGAGCTTGTAATGTTTAACCATATGCTGATTGGAAGCACCACATTTTGAGTTTTCCTAAAATTTACTTTGAAAATAAAATACCTCCCTTCTTGGAAAGTTATCCTCCTTTCCACACAAGATACTAGAATAAAATGTAGCCCAGCCTTCCCAGAAAGGGGAACCCAGAGCACACATGTAGAAAACAGGGTTTATTTGTGATATCAGGTATGCACATACCATTCTATGACTTAGCTTTTGTCTTCTGCTTTTGTAGGCAAACATTTATATTCTGGAACTGCACTGTTGGCAGAAACATTTTCTCTGCCTTGGTAACCAGCTCCTCAGAGACAAGAGATGTAATCTTTGTTTTCCCTAGCCAGAATTATCATTTGTAATATAAATTTCCTATGGAATGGAAATGTGATACTTTTTTAACTCTAGTGATTTGCAGCTTGTTCCTGTTCTGTATGCAAGGCTGCAAATGTTGTGTTTCTGTAAACTGGGAAAGAAGGTACATTTTAAAGTGACTTCCGGAATAGTGACTTTATACTGCAAAGCTGACCTCACCTTTATGAACCAGCTATAAATCTCCAAACAAGCGTATAAAAGCTAGGCACTGCTTCTCACATCCTTTGGAAAGAGCAAGAGGATTATTTTTCTCAGCATGTCAATGGGAGATAGAGCTGCACTTCTGCATCTGTTAAGCCAAAATAGTAGGCAACTCCTGAATGTTAAAAGATGAAAATAACAGGCAGAGAGATAAAAGGGTAAGTGGGCACTAGAGGGCATCTTTACACATGCTGGGCACTTTAATTAGATTGGCTCTTGGAAACTGCTCTAATTAAAGTGTCCGCAGTGTCTTGTGTATTCAGTGTCATGTGTTTCAAAATGGCAATGAGGATGCTTTAACTAGAACTCAATGAGTTTTAATTAAAGTGCCCCTGCTGCCATTTTGAAACTCAGGGATGCTGAATATATATGATGCCGAGCCTGCTGAAGCAGACTCAGTTAATCAAGTCTGCTCCAACACATGCTAATTAGCACACGTTGGAGCAGGTGTTGGGCATATGTATAGGTGCCCAGAGTGCCTTCTCTTTCTTTCCAAAGTCATCAACTCCATGCTTTGTGTGAAGTTTTCATTTCCCAAGTCAAAGGAGCTGGATGGATATTCTTGGTGGGATGAGGCACCTCTGTTGGAAAGGCTGGATTGACAAGAGTACAACACTGCATGGAATCTCTGTTTGGTAACATTGTTGAGGAGCAAAGGATGCTGATTGCATCCCTTTACAGTGGCTTCAAATTTGAGATCTCCACATGTGCATGCCCTGCTGTAACTAATAGATGCTGCAGTTGAGGTTGCAGCTTCACTTTTATTATAGTTTCTTGTGCTACATTATTCACAACCCTCTCAAATTTCACCTTGTACGAAGTTGTTGGGTTTTTTTGGTCTCACCTGTAAGGCTAGGCAAATTTGCACTAACTTTTGCTGCTTTGTCTAAGTGCCCTAAATTAGTTCATGAACAAACAACTCATGTTGGCCCTGGGGGGGAGGGAGAGGGAGGTGGGTGCAGGGCACAGAGGTGGCCTGCCACTGGCCAAGGCCAGCAGATGGGGGGTGCTTACAGCAGGGTGCCAGCGAATTCTGCAGCCAGCCACCTCTGATTGGCCAGTGTGTCCCCCCCACAATCTGCTCAGCCTCACAAGCAGGAGACAGAGGCTTTTCTAGATCCTATTTGTGACAGCCCAGAGTAGATGAGCTCTGGCCAAGGCTAGCACATTGCCATGCGAGGGGCACCTGGGATGCCAGAGGACAGCGAACTAAGGTGATGTGCTATGGGATCTGGGACAGAAGTTCAGTAAACTGTTGCAACGTAAACTGATTAAGTCTAATACTACATGCATCTAGGTCTACTTAGACTGCGTCCTGCCTTTTTGAAACCAATCTGATGATCACTGGATTTCTGTTCTGTTACAGGTTTAGACTGGTTTCTGATCACTTATACCAGTTTATGTGCAATGTCTGTACCTAGCCTATGTTGAATTTTGGGAGAATTTTAGGATACACTTTTAGAAACTATTGAATTAATCAAGAGGAGTTTTGGGGGGATTTTTTATTTGTTTGTTTTTGTTTTTAAGCACTGAAGCTAAACTCTTCAGCTTAAAAAGAAATCAAACTCTTTCTCCTTAATAGATGA